GCTAATATGAATGGGTTAAATGATCCATAGTACATGATATGTAGCCCTGTACTACGGATCATTTAACCCATTCATGTTAGCAGTGCAGAATTGTATATCTATATGTACTGTACATATACAGCACAAATGTCCCGTACATTGCAGCAATAGATTTACAATGATCCCCTGCTAACATGAATGGGTTAAATGATCCATAGTACAACTACATGTTATGTACTATTATGTACTGCGGATCATGATTTAACCTATGCATGTTAGCAGGGGAGAATTGTAATTCTATTACTGCAGTATACCGGACATATGTACTGCGGATCATGATTTAACCTATTCATGTTAGCAGGGCAGAATTGTGAGCGCCTTCCACAAGCTGAGCACCGAGATGCGATGAAGCGATCCTGCCCAGCGCCGACTACGAGAGGCACCGCGTGAGGCCACAGGGATCGGCGTGAAACTGTGAGTGAGGGAAGCTGGGACGGGGCTGGCTGTAAATCTATTGCTATAGTGTACTGGACGTGTCTAATGTATATGTAGTACATATATACAGCACACACCTCCACCACACTCCAGCAATAGAGCTACAATTCTCCGCTGCTAACATGAATAGGTTAAATCATGATACACAGTACATAACATGTAGTTGTACTATGGATCATTTAAAGTCACCTGTCCCTTTAAGAAAAAGTATCGGTAATTGGTATCAGCAAGTACATGAGGGGAAGTACTTGTACTTGTACTTGGGCCTGAAAAAGTGGCATCGTGACATTCCTAATGCAATCAGTATATAAAACATGTAAATATAGTGTCAGCCCACAAATACAGAGATAAATCAGTCCATTCATACCAGCGATGCTGCCTAAGAGGGATTTGGGCTCTTTCCTCCAGACACGTGCTGCGGATGGCAGTGGATTCCTTTCCTTTTTCTATAATGGAGTCTAAACTCCCAAGATGCACTTGTTTCCTTCTCTTTGAGCAGAGGTATGTTGGAAGTTTTTTTTTTAATTAAAGAAAAAGAGTCTTGAAGTGGCTGTAAATAGAGATGTTGTCTCTTCAGCTCCATCTAGTGGCTGATTTTGATATCAGAGGTAGGTAAGCCTTATAATTTCTTATGCTGGAGGCAGAACAGTATGTAAACAGTTGAATGTCTATAGCCTAGCCACATATTCACTATAGGCTATTTAGGATTATAAGCAAATGTTTTTGTTTTTTTAGCAAAACAGATAAGGATAGCCTGGAATACATAAAAAATAAGCCAGAAGCTCTCCCTGATGGTTAAGAATGATAAGAAATATTGTGCCTATTGTTAATATATATTTCTTTTTACCTGGAAAGAAAAACATTTTAAAATGTATATTTTTTTCTAAGTATAATAAATAAATAACATATTAAACTACCATACATTCCCTTTATTATGACTCCACACTATACTCAACGTTTATCCTGGGTCCAGATTCTACCAAAGCTTTACATTTATAACGTTGCAATGATCTCGCTATACTAACTCTAAATCAATTATGACGTTAAAAATACATGCAGCTAAGTGCGCGTGTTAATATTCCATGGGATATATTACATTTGGCCTGAGGTCCTTTCCCCAGCAAGATGAAGATGTTGAGCTGGAAAGCCTGAAATCAAATTTTCCCTTAAAGTTCACTTGAGGATTCCTTTGTTTATTTTATCTCTGCCCATCCAATCAGTTTACATTAGAGCCAAAGAGCAGGTCTGCTGCATAACTGCAGTTGTAAGAACCAGCAGTTATATCATCACTATTAATAGGGCTGTCACATAATATGGCAATTCTTCTTATGCTGCATGTCCTTGAGAATACTTTTATTTTTTTTAAGCTGGCACTTGACAACGCACTCATATGAGCACACAATGGAAAAATGTTCCCTGATTATCCAGCAGACGCTAAATAAAGATGACACGTTTCTCCACAAAACAACTTTCCCAACTGTTTTAGGCAAAGCTGTTGCGACAATATGGAAAACACTTATTAATATGTAGAAAAGTGGATGCTGCGTAACCAAGAATAAAAGCGAAAATGCCAGGGTTGTTTAATACCAATATAAAATGTGTTGCTGCAAAACATTTATTTATATACAGAGCTTGGCTAAAATAGGAAATATAAAAGTGTTTTGTTCCTAGGTGCACATAGCGACCAATCAGCAACTAATTAGAGATGAGCAAACTTTTGAATATTAAATGCAAAATTGTTTACAATGTTAATGTGTTTTCAAACATAGTTGACCAAACCCTGAGGCTTTATTAATGAAGCTTTCATTTAAAGCATTTTTAACATTTCAACTGCCCTTAGATCCTTAACATCACATTACAAAGTGAACCTGTCAATAAACAGTGGCACAGGTATGCAACTAAGTTTGGCCACCCATCACAGTGGTAAGGCAGTAGGAAAGCACAAGGCAAGTAAGGAGTGCTGGTCTAGCAGTTGACCAACAAAGTCGGTAAAATTTGCATACCAGGCTGCCCCAGTATTTAAGGATCCTGGGGTGTTTAATAAAGTACCACAATAGTTAACTTTAGGGAACCTTGAGCTTACTTTAAAGTAAAGCATTTTATTGTAGTTTCACTTAGGTGTTTATTGCTGTAGACCAGGGGTAGCAAAACTTCGGCCCTCTAGCTGTGGTGAAACTACACAGCCCATAATGTATCCTCCTCTGGAAGTCTTGCAATGCCTAATAGGTAGTCCCACCACAGCTGGAAGGCCAAAATGTAGCTACTCCTGCTGTAGACAAATCCATCCAGCACCACACCATCCATAATGATACCATAGTAACTTGAATAAACAGAAATCTGGCATTCACCAAAAACCCAAGCTTTAAATGAGGTTAAACTAGAAAAATCATATAGTGCAAACAAGAATATAAATAGTTAATAATAATAAAATTTGAAATAATACAACTTTATTAATTATTACATTATTATAATTATTATTAATAATAATAATCAATAATAATTTAAAAAAACATATTATCATTGCTATTATTATTATTATTTTTGCTTCCACTATAGGATTTTTCTCCTTTGACTTCATAAAAAGCTTGAGGTCTTTTTGGTGAGTACTCGCTATCTCTTTATGCAGGGTTTTTTGCTGTCTATGTACCCACTGCAGAGATTCTTCCTCTCTGTTTGTCCTGGTGAGCATTGTCACAGAGAACATGATGGGAAGTCCAAAATTTTACAGTTGTCACAGTACAGGAGGTGACAGGAAATGTCCAATATGGACATCTGTCCCAGTGATAACGGTCTAAGTCCTTATCTGCATATTTGTTCCAGGTCAGTTACAGAACGTATTGAAGAAAGATGGTCAGCATGACAAGCAGGAAACAAACATTTTCAGAAATAAACATCAGCAATGGCAGCCTCCATGTTTCTGTCTTCACAAGTTTCCTTTAAAACCTATGCTGAGATATGTCAGCTTGGAAAAGTACAACTGTAGTTTTTGATTCAGAAAATTGTCCCAGAGCATGTAACTGACTTTGCCCTTAACTGATCTGAGTAAACTGATGTGAAATTGGTTGGTTGTTAGCATTTCTTAACATGCCAATGGTCATTGATCCTTGCACGGTCCTAATGCATTTAATGATCACTGATATTTTTTGCAGCTTCTTAACAAGGACACAGAGTGCCGCTATTCATCATTATCTGACATTCAGACATCCCCTTACCTGGCTGACATGAATTGGGATGCTGTTATGGAGAAAACAGTGACACCCAACTTTGTCCCTAGCGTAAGTTTTAAGCATTCCGTTTTACCAGTAATGCCATCATATAGTTGGAAATGTTCTGATTAATGTCTTGTTTGAGGTCTTATTCAGATTTATAGTTAAGTAAGGTGTATAATTGTCAAACAATTGTTTTTATTTTAAAGACAATATAGATCAGCTAGTGTTAAAGTGACACTAAACTCAGGAGTTAAACCTTCAAGTACCTTAAATTGGTGCTGACACTGTCCTTCCTACTTTTGTTCCCCATGGTCCCTGTGTGTGTTGTAAAGTAGCCACCGCTCCAAAGTTCCCTCCCATGATGGACTACAATCCAGGGACGTGCGGTCTGTGGAGGCAGGAGAAGTCTGAAGCTGACAGATTTTTCTCCATAAATCAAACCTTCTGACATGTTAGACACCAGGGAAAGCCTTCCCACTGTGCAACCTGTCATGTATGGAGCGCCGCCTGTTAATTACAGGTGGTGCTCCATTCAGTTTCTGATAGCCCAGGTTAGGTTACACAGCAGTGCAGAGGCTTCCCCGCTATGCTGAGTGTAACCTAACGTGACTCAGAGCTATTGGAAGCCTCTGAGTTCTGCCAGAGTGCTTGAGCTCTATGGATGGTTTGGACCAATGGCAAAGTACCATTGTTCCAAACCGTCCAATCAAAATGCTGCAGTGGACTCAGAGCTATTGGAAGCCTCTGAGTTCTGCCAGAGTGCTTGAGCTCTATGGATGGCTTGTACCATTGTTCCAAACCGTCCAATCAAAATGCTGCAGTGGAGGCAACTATCTTAGACCTGACAGCAGTGAGTAACAGGAAGGCTCTTTCCTTCCTCCCGCACACTGGCGTAACTATTGCCTTATCGACCCACGTGGTCGCTATGGGGCCCGGGGCAGATGGGGGCGCAATCGGGAGTGGGCTGAGGCACAGATAAGACCGGCCAGCCCAGATCACCTCGGTATACCGATGGCAATCCGGGCCTGGCCGCACTGTGGGCAGTGGTGGCCCTCTATTTTGGCAGTTTAGAGGGTCACACACTGGGGCCTTTCGGGGGCCCTAGTAAGGAACGAGGGGCCGCCTGAATAGAGAGTGAGAGCCCACACTGACCATCAGGGAGCCACTGGCAACCAGGGAGCCATTTGCCACCAGGGAGCCCTGCACTAACCACCAGGGAGCCCCACACTGACCACCAGGGAACTCCTCACTGACCACCAGGGATCACCAATGTCAGCACCAATTCAGAGATTATATGAGGATCTACAGCTGAGTGATACACAAATAAGATACATTTTTGTTACTAGATAAGGTACTTGAATGTATTTTTAGGAGTTAACTCCTGAGTTTCGTGTCACTTTAACAATGAAGGCAGGGAAGTCAAGCCTAAAAGAAAGCTCTCTTGCATCTTCAGCATTCTAAACCTGCAGTTGACTCTGAGGAAGGCGAAAACCCCAATGAAAATTTGCTCTAACAGGGAAAAAGTAATGTCTGATTTCCAAACACAACTAGATAACTCTCTGGATCAACATTCCACAATGTCATCGAACCAGCGTCATAGAGGCAATAGGCATGTGCGATTCGTTTCGTTCCGAATCGAAATTCGGACGAATTTTCGTAAATTCGGACATTCGGATGTATCCGAATTCCGAATTACAGACATAACGAATGCAAACGAATCCGAATTTCCATCTCCGAAATTCGGTAGCGTTCGCACGAACGTTCGTTTCGTTTTCTGTTCGTATTCGTTTCTTATTCGATCGTTGGAGCAAAGTGACATTAGAGAAGGAGAAAAATATTTTTTCCCCCTCAAATGTCACTTTTGCTGCAAACGAACGAAACGAATAAGAACAGAAAACGAAACTAACGTTCGTACTAACGCTACCGAATTTCGTCCGAATCCGAATTCCGAATCCGAATTGATGTTCACACCCGAATCCTGAAAAACGAAATAACACAAATCCGAATTTAAAACGAAACGAAACAAATTTTTTGGCAGTGCACATGTGTAAGAGGCAACCAAAGGATTGTTTTCTGGCTAATTAAAGTCACCTTACAAATTCTTAGAAGGAAGTTTTACTTTTAATAGTTTAAGGGGATTACAGGTTCATTTAAATGATCAATGAGATGTGCAAAAATTAGTCTTATAAAGATTTTTTTGTGCTGTTTTCAGTCAGGTCCACCCTAACTTGCATTGAGAGGGGAACAGTAATGCTCAGTCATTGTGCAGCGGTAAGAAGTAGGAAGCAGGGTCTGCAAAAAAGTAGGGAGCAAAAACGTAGGAGTGCATTTGGCAGGCTTACAACGTTGCTGCTAATTGTGAGGCAGTGGCTCAGTGTTGTCAGCCTGCAACAGGAAGTACTTTTTCTTGCAGCATCTCCAGGTAAGAAACTTTATAGCAGATTCACAAGAACAATTTACTCCAGGGGAAGTTTTCTAGATTTAGGGGCTTTATTAAAAAAAAAATAACAGGTTGGGTGGAAACAGGGTGTTTTTTTATTCTTTGCTTAATTTTGAACTGACGACGTGCTTTAAACTTTCAGCTTTAACATGTAAAGTACATGGACAGGTCTCAGGTGATCCCCCTGACTTGTATAACCTTTTTTCCTGACCTTTAAATAAATATCAAAGTGAACTGAAAGGTTATCTGTTTTATATGACTATTGCGTATGGTTTACCTTGGAATATTTACAGTAAATCTTTATTTTTGGTTTTGTAACATTATAGCATTGTAGTAAGTACTCCTGTACAGGTCAATACTTGGTGCTGCCATTTTTTTACCATAACATTTACCTTTAAATTTTTTACCAGTAGATATCGATGGTTATACTGTAACTGCTTGGGGAAAAAGGAAGTCTAGACCGGCAAATGTCTCTTTTTACGACAAGTTGCTTTAGTAATAAAATATTCCCTCCTTTTCTTCCCTTCTACTTTTTCTTTGCGCATTTTTTTAAAGTCCCCTACTATTTAAATAAAGAACATAATATGATCTGGGAACAGGGCTTTATTCTGTTGGTGCCGTGTAGAATTCAATCACACTCATCCATAGAGATCTGCCAATATGTCCAGTGCAAGCTAATTCAGTTTTGTTAGACTTTCTGCCAACAAAATGTCATGTTTACCAAGATGAGAGGGGCATTATGGCCATGCATATTTAATACAGTACATAACATCTGAGGCATATGAAATGAGCAGACATTTTGGCACACAGCGCTAGTGTTGGCTGCCGCTGAGCACTTGATGACCGCGTGCCAGCTGCAGCTTCTGGCAGGGAAACCACAGGTTCTACAGGAGAAAACTCTTATCCCAGAAAGTCATTAGTAGTTTTTTTATGTTAAATTGTTAATCTCTTGCAGTAAGTAAGTTTCTTCTACTTTCTAAATTGTGGCTTTAAAGGACAACTCCAGGCATACAGCTAAATACACAAAGCAAAAGCAGAAAGGAAGATAATGAATAAATAAATAAAATAATAAAAGATAATAAAGGCTGCATGGCTGTCACTTATGTCACTTTGTCATTGGCCCAGAACAAGCACGCAGATTAGAAAGAGAGAACTGTGGATTCTCATAGTGTTTCCAGGGCTGTGTCTGGGAAAGCTGGGATCAGTATGACAGCCATGATGCAGGTGGTCTTTTACAGGAAAAGTCAGCTAAACAGACTCTAGGACACATCTACTATAAAGCCTCATTGAACTTTCAGTAAAATGCTTTCCAAGTGCATTAACAGGGAAGGTGTGGAATATCTTACAGTTATATTTGTTTCAGCAGCTACAGCCTGAGAACAAAGGCTGTCCTCTGCCAGCAGGCTGCAGAGGAGGACACATGCTCTCTGTGGGGAAGAAGAGGTCTCTCTGCTGATGTCTAACACACTCGCTGCTAAGATAGACCTATAGCTCAGCTAAGCTCATGCTTCAACTGATTGCAGAGCCCTGGCTTGGACTCAGCAGGTGGGCATGTCAGACCTCTAAAGAGAGACTACTGACTCCATAAAAAAAACAAGGGACCCACTCTACAGCATGCAGGTAGGGAAGCAGGTAGGGAATAGGGTTTTCTATTTAGGCTGTGGCTGTTGTAGAAAGAAACCAAACTGTAAGACTTTACACACCCTTTCTTTCATGCACCTGGAATATATTAGTTGGGGTATCAGTTGGGGTATAAATATATTTTAATGCTTAGCTTGCAAATCCTGCTGAGTCTTCTAGTAAAATACTCTCCAGAGCTTGCATACTTATTAGCAGCCTGTGTGTAATTGACTTACTTTAATACCCCTGTATTTGTCAGTAAAGAGTTAAGGGTATATTTCTATTCATTCAGCATTCTGTGTAATCTGATCTTTCCTGCCATGCAAGTCAATTTTCAGCAAAACAGTTATTAAAAGAGTTCTGGATCATCCTTGCAAGTGGCCAATATGAATTATTAATTTCCTCTATGACAGTGGTTCTCAACCTGTGGGTCGCGACCGAAAAGTGGGTCGCGACCCACAGTTGAGGGGGTCCCCAGATGCCTTGTGTTGCTCTAGGTAAGAGGCTCCTCAGCCTCCTCCTAGCGCAGCCTTGTCAGTTCTCCTAGATGGCGCTGCAGCAGCAGTGGCCAGAGAGGATCAGAGAGAGGGGAGCAGGCAGGAGTGAGGGGAGGTGAGTGCTTGATCACCACAGAGCCCGCACAGGACGCCAACCGAGAGTCCCACTAGCCACCTGAGAGCCCGCGTAGCCTCCCGAGAGCCCACACAGATACTAGTATTGGTGCATCCCTACATTTTACGGTTCGGGGTCACCACAACTTGGCAAATATTACCAAGGGGTCCCGGCCCTAGAAAGGTTGAGAACCACTGCTCTATGATAAAGGAAAAAATAAGTGGGCATGGTAAAGAAAGGATGATGAGACAAAACAAATGTTTTCCTGGGTGACTATGCCCCCCTTATTCATTTTAATGTAGGGGGGTAGGGCTGGATATCTGTGGCCCCCTCACCTTTACCTTAAAGGGGGCTTGACATTCTGGTAAGTCCCCAACCCGCAAACCCCACATCC